AGGAACTAAAGAAAAACAAAGCTCTGGAGCCCCAGCCACCTCTGCTTTCGGTTTCTGAGGGTGTGAAGCTCAAACTGCTGAACTTGAAGCAGATGCTCAGCCTGTGCTCCCTGAGTTTATCAAAAATCCTGGTTTGGTTTGCCCAGCTCGAGGGGCTGCTCGTGGAGAAAGAGGAAAGCTGGAAATTCGAGGTGGTGGGTGTGCAGGCAGCTGGAGACTGGGATTGAGCCACACTGATCCGCATCCCTCGGGATGGGAGAGGGGCCTGAGCATCCCTCAGGATGGGAGAAGGGCTTGAGCATCCCTTGGGGTGGGAGATGCACCCCAGCATCCCCCAGCCTGGGAGTGATGCCTCAGCATCCCTCATCCCAGGAGTGGTACCCCAGCATCCTGCAGCCTGGGAGAGGTACCTCAGCTTCCCCCAGCCTGGGAGAGGTACCTCAGCTTCCCCCAGCCTGCTCAGCATCCCCGAGTTCTGCAAGCAGCCCCCCAGCCTCCCCCATCCTGGGAGCTGTACCCCATCCTCCCCCAGCCCAGAGCAGTGTCCCAGTGTCCCCCAGCCCAGGGCAGTGGCCCAGTGTCCCCCAACCCAGGGCAGTGTCCCAGTGTCCCCCAGCCCAGGGCAGTGTCCCAGTGTCCCCCAGCCCAGGGCAGTGGCCCAGCCCTGCAGCTGCACATGCCCTGGCAGTTATTAAAACGTGTAGCTCAGTCAGGGCCCGCGATCAGCTCTGAGATATCATTGTCAGCCGCCGTAGCGTGACTTTTTTTTCCTTCTCTCTTTTCCCTTTGATTGGAATGGAGCCTCCTGGGAGACGTGAACTCATCGCAAATGGCTTCCCAGGGATGGGAGCAAATGAAATGTAACAAATCTCCATTTGCAATTTTGGGGGCACGTGACTGGAATGGGAATGGGGCCGGCGGAGCTGAGCTCTGCCTCGGTGCGTTACCAGCAGTCAGTGGCTGCTGCCTGCTAAAATAAACCCTTTATCACCTTCATCCTTCATTTCCAGTGCAGCTAAATAACACAGCAAAATGGCACAGCCCAGCCCACTCAGCCCAGGACTTTGGCTTCCCAGCAGGGGCACGAGGGAGAAGATTTTATTCCGGTTTCCCTCAGAGCTCTACAACCCCCTGTTCAAAAAGGACGATTTAGGGGGTTGTTGTGGTGTGGAAAAGCTTTCATGGGGGTGCAGAGCTCCCATGCCTGGTGAGCTCTGTGCATGCCCTGGGCCATGCCATGTCTTGTCATGCCATGCCAGGTGTTGCCATGCCATGCCAGGTGTTGCCATGCCATGCCATGGCCATGCTACACCAACCCCTTCCAAGGTCCCCTCAGTTCCAGCTGTTCTCTCACACATCTCTGCCCACCACAGCTCCCCGTGGTTTCACCCGGGACACCACTGGAGTCTCCCTGTGCCCAGATTCCAGCATTTCTCCCTCAATTAGGCCATTCCCCCTGGTGGGCAGAGCCGAAGCCACCCCTCAGCACGGCCTGGCAGGGGACAGTGCCCATCCCATGGCACGGCCCGTGCTGCTCCATCAGTGCTAATGGAGTGGGACTGGATGAGCTTTAAGGTCCCTTTCCACCAAAACTATTTGATGATTCTATGAAAAAGAAATCCTTTCTGGCCTATAACCTTCAGAAGAACATCCTGGACGTGCCTGGACCTGGGTCTCCATCCCACCAGAAGAGGCATCTGGCCCACAGGGTGGGCACGTGCTGGGCACAGAGCTCTGGGCTCATCCCGTGCTGCTCTGGGGTTCATTTGTTATGGATTTCTCTGGGAATGTTGATGATCAGTGCCATTTGTGTCCTTCTGCCTGTCACCCAACGGAGCTCAGCTGGGTACAGGGGGCCCAGCTTACCCTTGAATCCCACCTCAGCATCTCCAGCCATCAGGTGACCTCCCCTGGTGTGATCCGGGTGTGGGTTTGGGTCCAAACTCGGGTTATTTGCTGTCAGACCCCACAGACCCCCCCACGGACCCCCTGCAGTCCTGGTGCTGTGCAGGTCTGTGCCCACAGATCTGATTTCTTTTTGATTCCTTGTGATTGACAAACCTTCACTGTGTGGGCCTGAGGCTTTGGGTTGGTTTTGGCTTGTTTTATAAATATCCAGGCGGCTTTGGCAGCCGAATGGAAATGCTGAGCCTGACGAGTAACAGATGTAATTTTACAGGAGCATTAACTGATCCACGGGGTTAAGTAGATGTGAACACAAACACAGAAGTCCCTGGGTCTCTGTGCTCTGCCTGGGAAAACCCCATCCTACCCCAATTACTCATGTCCTGCCCTGCTGGTGGTGCCTCTCCATTTGAGCTCTGATTCTTCACACCCACGGTGGGGCCACCTTTGCTCTGGGGGCACATTCCTAGGGGACAGTGGGGTCATCCATGAGGGGACCCAGCCAGGGAACCACCCCAGGACCCAACCAGGTTGCAGGTGTGGTGTGGGCAGGAGGTGCAGGCAGGTCCCACCTGGGGATGCTCCTGGGTGTGGGGCCCTGTGGGATGGAAGGGGTGGAACTGTCCCTGTCAGGAGGGCTCTGGGGCAGGCAGGGGAGGCAGGGAGGTGACTCTGGGGCATCTGGGGGAGCTCATGGTGGGAGGTGATGGAAGTGAAGGGTGGTAGAGAGGGGCTGCAGCCAACCCTCCCTCCAGGGCATTTCTGCCTCTGGGGATGCAGCTTTTCCTGCAGCTCTCCTGCAGAGCAGGGATGGGATGTGTGTTCTGCTGGAGGATGGAGCAGCTCATGGGATCAGGGGGCTGCCCTGGGTTTGCTGTCAGTCCCTTGCACCCATTGGGAGGCCTTAGGGCCGGGGTCAGCCATGGGACGAGCTGTGCCAGGCAGTGCCAGGCTGTGCCAGGCTGTGCCAGGGAAGGGAGGGTGTTTCTCCACTTCTTTATTTTCCAGGAGGAGAGTTAATTTTAGCAGAACAAACAGAGGAGGAAGGCTGTGCTAATGAGACACAGATGAATCTCGCTGGCTCCCGGGGTGTCCGGGGAGCTGTTTTTCCAGCACTAATAACCCAGCCTACAACAATGAGCAAGGCTGATATTGTTTGTTATTGCTAATAGATGCTGCTGATAACTTTATCTGCAGCTCTGAGAGCTCCTGGCTGGCAGTGCTGGGAAGGTGCCTGGCACTGGTACTCACAGCATCCCAAATGCTGTGCCAAGGGATCTGTGCTGTTTGGGGCTGCAGGGCTGTGTCCCCCTGGCTGTCCCAGCAAAGGATGGGCTCTGTGGCCATCCCTCAGCTGGGAAGGGAGCCTGGGAAAGGCACTTTGTGCTGGTGAAGGTGGCTGAGCACTGGGGGAGGGACTGGAGGAGGTGCTGGTGAAGGTGGTGGAGCTCCCACCATCCTCAGAGCACTTGAGGGCCATGGTTCTGGGCAAATCCATTGGGAATGCTGGGTTAGGGACTGGTCTAAGGGAGGAATTGCCAGCAGATGGAGGAAGGGTGGCCCCACTGAAACAGTCAGTGGCCAGGGAGAGAGTGGGAAGAGCCCAAGTCGAGGTGATGGGGCAGCACAGGGAGGGACTGGTGTTCAGCACCCTTCTGCCAGGCAGGGGTGTCTGGGGGAAAACCAGCTCCTCTGGTGAAGTGCATCTCATTCTGAGGCCCTGTTTAGAGCCACACATGCCACAGCATGTGATATGTGCCAGAAACTCCACTGAAAAAAAGCCCTCCAAGACTCTCAAATGCTGAATAGAATGACAGGATCCCAGGCAGGTCTCTGGGCTCTCTGGATTATCAAGTAGCCCGGTGGCTCCACTGGGCTTTCTGGGCCCCGGGAATGTTTCCCTGGGGAATTCCAGTAGCAAAACCCCCAAACCACTTGCTTAGAAATCCTTTTCTCTTGAAAACCCTCGCCCTGATTTGTTAAAGAAATGACTCTAAAAGCAGAAGCCACCGCGGGGGCAGCTGGTTCCAACCAGCCCCTCGTCTGCTCCAACCACAGCTCTTTGTGCTGCTGGGGGGGTTCAGCCCCCCCTGAGCAGGGTCCTGGCCCCGGCCACGGCGGTGAACCTGCGGTGGGGACACGGCCACCAGCAGCCACAGCTCCGGGTTCACACACGAGTGTGGAGCAGAAACTGCTCGGAGGAGAGCGAGAAAAGAGCAGGGAGATGCAAATGCGGTGGAAAATGTGACTGTGAGCAGGGCAGCGGGCTCAGCTCTGCCGTCTCACAGCGGGGCAGTTTCGACCGAGGCCTTTTCTGTCTCGCTTTTTCCCCCCCAATATCCGATCCCGTCAGAGAAGCCATTTCACGTGTCTCTGCAGCTCCCGACCAGCCTGGAAGTGGCTGGCTTGCAGGGAGGGAAGTGGCAGCAGGAAAACAAAGCCATAAGAGTCTGAAGGATATTTATTTTCATATCTACAAAGCGAGCCTGCAGAGAGAGGCGCGGGGATGTTTGGTTTCCAGTGCTGGAGCCGGGCTCCGAAATCACTTCCCGACGGGTTTGGGTTGTAGGGGAGGTGTTTGGCTGAATCACAGTTAAGTACAGGAGGTACCAAACACAGCCTCAAATCCATGCTTATTCAGGAAAGATCTTTAAGCATGTAATTAGCTTTAAGCACATGCTTAGGTGCCTTACAAGTGGGGATGCTTTGCTGAATTAGGGCCGTAATTACTGGGCTGCTACTGTGTCTGTGTCCGTGTTTACCCCGTGGGCGCTCCATGGAACACTGCCCGGGCCACTGCGGGAACGTCGGCGGGACAAACCAGGCACCCTGGCCCCAGGGAGGGCCTTGATGGAGTGTCTGCAGCCAGCAGGCCCTGGAGGTGTTTGGGAGCTCCTGGAATGAGCAGTGCCAAAGCCCTTTGGGGTTCGGCACCACCGTGACCCCCGAGCTCCGCTCCCAGGGCTCGGGATCAGCTCATTGCTTCAGAACCTCCCCTTCCTCTTGTGCAAAGAGCCAGCGCAGCTGTATTGGCCCTGATAAACATCTGCAAGCCAAGCAGGGCTCTGGAGGGGCCGGTGGCTTCGTCTGAGGGCTGTCCCAGGCTGGGAACCGCTCCGCCGGCATCGCTGGAGCCGGAGCCGGCTGATGTGCTCCTCCCAGCTCCCGGCTTCCCAAAGGGACCAAGAGCACGGGCAGGAAAACGCCACGAAGCCTTCGGAGACACGGGGTGTATTTATAGCCAAGGCTTTCATGTCGCTGACACAGGAGGCCAAACCAAACACGCCGAGGCTGCAAGAAAGCAGGAAACGAAACCGGATCGTCGCTCGCCAGAGCCCTCGGATGAGTGTGAGAGGCAAACGTGAGCACAGCAGCTGTGCCCCTGTGGGTGGCAGAGCCGGGCGCCAGCCCCGTCCTCGGGGTGGGAATCCTGCTCCCAGTCCAGCCCTGGCAGCGAGGGGTTAATGGGAGAAGATTTTCCCATTCTCACTTGTCTCTGTCAGACACTCGTGGGACTTGAGGTTTTGCAAAGCAAATATAACCTTCACTTGGAAACCACGCCGGCTTTCGAGGGGCTCTGTAAGGAGCACAGGATCCCAGAATCCCAGAGTCACTGAGGTTGGAAAAGACCTCCAGGATCACCGAGTCCACCCTGTGACCAATCCCCACCTTATCCCCCAGCCCAGAGCACTGAGTGCCATGTCCAGTTCTTCTTTGGACACCTCCAGGGCTGGGGACTCCACCACCTCCCTGGGCAGCCCCTTCCAATGTCTGACAGCCCTTTCCAGGAAGAAATTCTTCCTGAATTTCAGAGCAGGGCTCTGCCAGGCTCCCTCCTGGAGCTACTGGGCTGCTGCTTTGTGCTGAGCCTCTCCCTGCTCTGCTCCCCTCTTGCTGTGTGAGACACCTTGGCCATGCCCCTGTGCCCTCGAGGGTGGACACAGCCTGGGAAACCCGGGATAGTGGGAGGTGTCCCTGCCCATGGCAGGGGTTGGAACAAGATGAGCTTTAAGGTCCCTTCCAACCCAAATCATCCCAGGATTCTGTGATTCTGTGAATTACAGGGCCAGCTCTGGGTGGCTTTGGCCTGTGCCCGTGTGTCTGACCTTGGGGGAGGTTGGTCCATGCCACAGGCACTTCTTCAAAGCACACACCCAGCAGCACCATCCCGGGAGCTGCTGCACCCCCAGGGATGCTGGAGTCTCCTGCCAGGACTCAGCCCTCGATCTCTGACCTTGAAGAAACTCTGCTAAACTGTTCTCACTTCCTCCAGAATTGTTAACCTGGGTTAAGAGGATATTTTCCACCCATGGCAGATTGCAACAGCGAGGCTGGGACCAGAACAGGCGCTGATTAAAGAACAAGCCCCACGTTTAAGGCAGTGTAATGATTTCCACCGAACTTAATGGCTGCGAAACAGAAACAAGTTATCGCTGGCACATCAAAGGGCTGGAAAAATGTAGTCAACGGTACCTTTGAGCTATTATGCATATCAAGTGGCAAGATAGCATCGTGAATAATAAGGGATTTGCAGCGAGGTTGCACAAACAGCAGTGAAGCAACTGCTCACCATGCACCTCCTCCCGGGCTACATCAAAAGCCCGAGAGAAGGGCGACTCATTTCCAAATTGCTGCACATCCAGAGGCAATCGGAGGCAGAGGCCTCCAGATGCTCAGGAGGAGGCTGGGACATGACACAGCTCAGGGGCCAAAGCGAGGGGTTGGCACACAAGGCCGAGTGCTGAAGGGATCAGTTTTGGGTGTCACCAGGTCTGGCCTAACCCCAGACGAACTCCTCGTGCCCCTGGGAGGCCAAAGCTTCCTTCACCTGGCGGTTGCTCCATCTTCTTTCTAAGCTTCCTTCTTCACCAGGTTTTTATTTGTTCCCAGTAAACAACAGGGAGCTCACCAGGGGCAGCTCCCTTTATCCCTTTCCTTTTGGGCTGGCTTTCCTATTACCTTGCCACTGCATTGGAAAGGCCTTTTCTCGCCCTGTTTTCTGGGCCACCAGGTGTTTCATACACTCTGAGCATTGTCCATGTGAAAGTCCCTCAAATAAATATTAAGGGGGTTAAACTTCCCTGTCCCAGCTCTCCTCACCCTATCCCTGGAGGTCTTCAAGGCTGGGTTGGACGGGGCTTGGAGCAACCTGGGCTGGTGGAAGGTGTCCCTGCCCATGGCAGGGGGTGGAATTAGATGATATTTAAGGTCCCTTCTAACCCAAACCATTCTGTGCTTCTGTGACTCCTTGGATGGGCTGTTCCCTCTGGTCCCTTTAGAGCAGGGTGAGCAGCTGACCTGCTCGAGCTTTCTGTCCTGTCAGCCCTAATGAGACTGAAATGCCACTGGATTACAATGGATTTTTGGTGTTCCCCTCCTGAAGGCATCCAGGAGCCCGTGGCATCGTGGGCACATCGCTCCTGAAACCACCACGAGGAGGGGACAGAGCAGGCCCGTGTGGCTGCCACTGCCACCACACACAGAGGAGGGTGCATCCCCCAAAGTCTGCTGGAGCCCTGACACATCCCCCTGCATCCCCCTGGCCCGGTGTCCGGTGGGAGGAGATGAGCCAGGGGCTGGGATCGGTGTGAGCCCGGCACACCTCAGCACCAGACGGCTGCTTAGTAAGGCTTTCCCAGCCCTCAGCAATTACAAGGCGAAGAAAGAAACCCACTTGACTTGCAAATAGCGCTGGTTGGGTAACCAGTGAGTCTCCCAACCCACAGCAGTAGCCCCGGGGCCCGCGGGGCCGCCTCAGTCTGACACGGTTAAATTTTCGCAGCGAGTGCTGATGACAGAGGATTACAAGAAGGAACAGTCCATCCTCAATAAGTGGTTTCACTTGAGAGCTGCAACCCAGTTTGCTAATTCCTCTGGTATTTCTGGCAGCGGCGCTCTCTGCACGCCTCCTGTGCTAACGCCTGCCCGCAGCACCTTCCTCCGCCGGCGCATCCCTCGGGGTCATCCTGGTTCTGGGAGGGATGGAACCGGCCCTTTACTCACCAGCCACCCGCCGGTGTTCCTGGAGAAGTGGGAAGGATGGCGTGGGATGGGCAGACGGGGCCGGGCCGGGAGGGCGGTGCTGTGTGGGATGGGGGGTGGCCGAGCCCTGCTCCGGGGGAGGGGACACGGTGCCACCCAGTCACACCACAGGTGGTTTTAAATAGGTTTTTCACGGTTTTGTTCTCATCTGGTGCCTGTTTGTCTCGTGTCCCAGGACGTGTTGGGAACCCTGAGCAGAGAAGGTTGGAGCAGGAAAATAAAGTCACTCTTGGAGCTCTGGTTGCTGCCAGCCCTCGGATGTTGATCTGGTTTGCTGTGGCCAACGGGGTCTCCCTCTCCATGAGCACCAGGAATTCAGAGCCAGATGGACACAGGGATGGAGATTTGAAGATGCCCATGTCCCCCCACCCCGAGATGGTGATGTCCCCCATCCCAACGTGCCCGTATCACCCACCCCAAGGTGCCCACGTCTCCCACCCCGACATGGCCCTGTCCCCCATTGCAGCTCTGCTCCATCCTGCTGAGCAGGGCTGGGGTGATGCCACCTCCCTGCCCTGAGCACCCGAATCCCTGGGCCCTGGGACTTAACTTCCTCTCTAGCGACTCCAACAGTTGAATTTGCAATTATTTCCATATGGAATTAGCTCTCCAATTCCACTTGGGAGAGCCACTGCCTGGCTCCACATGTGCCCAAGCTGGCAAATCCTCTGCCCGCACCGAAAATAAGACAAACATGCAGATTAAATGGAGCATTAGAGGAAGATCAAGATGGTGTTAATATTCAATTAGGAACGATCAGGGTGAGACTAAGGCTGACTCTTCTATTATTGCTTTGTTTGCAGGTGGCCTTTTCCTGCTGCTGGGGCCGGCTTGGGAGCAAGGACTGTCCCCATGTCCTCAAGAGGATCACACGCTGGTCCTGAGCCCCCAGATGAGGGAGTGCCATCAACTAGAGAAACTGGGAAAGAATTGCAACTTCTGGTGCTGAACCGGCCCGTTCTGAGCGAGTCTGGAGGGAGGAGCAGCCACTCCGGTGGCAGAGGAACAAGTCCCAGGTTGCAGGGAGGATCCAGCCCCTCTTTGCCATTCCCATCCCCACAGCCACGGAGCACAAAGGCAGGATTGGGGCAGCAGAATAGCTGGGCTTGTTTGTGCTTCCAGGCTGTGCATGAATAAAACATCTGGGGAGCACAGGCCGCCTTTGTCCGGCTGCTCTGGGTTTTGGAGGGCAAGATTTTAATGGGACCAAAAGAAATGAGTGATTGTTCCGTGTGTCTGTGCCCAGCTGAGGGGCTTCCTCTGGGCACAGACCCCGAAATCCTCCCAAACAAGAGCAAAGTCCCCTCAGGGAGGTGGCTCTGATGGCTCTGCTGATGCTGCTCAGCCCCGGGTGCCTGTCCCACCTACTGAGCTGCTTCTGAGAAAAGTCTTCATCAGAAATGAGTCACAGCCAGAATAATTGAAACTTTTGATGTTTCAGAGGATAAAGGGCTCAGAGCAGCTCACGCAGAGCTCTGCCTGCACCCTGAGCAGCTTCCTGAGGCTCTGATCTGGAGGCTGCCAGCCTGGAATGGTTTGGGTTGGAAGGGACCTTAAAGATCATCTCATTCCAGCCCTGCCACGGGCAGGGACACCTTCCACGAGACCAAATTGCCCCAGGCCCCGTCCAACCTGGCCTGGAACACTTCCAGGGACGGAGCACGCTCTGCTTCCAGGTGTTTTTGGGTACCAGCCCTGGGAGGTACCAGAGGAGCCCACACTGGGACCATCCCAGCTCCCCATTGGGTCAAAATGGGAAAAATTCCTGAAGAGAAAGGGATTTGCTGGAAAATGTCTTGTCCCAGGGGAGCAACAGCAGGCACAGGAGTGGAAAAGCTGCTCTGGCCTTGGCTGGTTCCCCCAGTCCAGAAATATCTGGGAAAACTCATCCCCCATTGAGTCACGCTGCAGGCAACAGGGGAAACAGCACTTAAGATAACAACAACAATAATGATAATGATGATAATAATGAATAATAATAACAATAATAATGAATAATAATAATAATAATAAGCCAGTTCACTGGAAGCCTAGTGGAGCAGAGTCTGCCCGCTGGAGTTATTCATCCCCTCCCAGTTATTCATGCCCCATTCCCTGTGTCTGTCCCCACAGGACCATGTCCCTGTGGATGTGACACCTGTGCCATCCCTGTGGGGTGCAGAGCCACTCTCAGCAGGGTGACAGGTGCTTTGAAACAGTTTAGTGTGAATAATGGAGCCTCTGAAATATTCCCAGAAAAGCGACCGGGGTGTGTTTCACATTCGTGTCGTTTTCCTTTCTCACAGATGAAACCTCTCCACGGCTGTTCGGCTCAAGGAGAAGCTGTTGAGGTGAAAAAAATGATTAAAAGGCCTGATTTAACACCCCCCCCCCCCATCAAACAGCACCAAATTAGCGACAAAATGTTCCTTCCAAGAGGGAGGTTTATAATTGGAGATGAGGATTTGTTTGTAATTCCCGGCCAAGAGTGATTTCAGTGGCTCTGATGAGGACACTGAGACTGTGTCCCCCCATCAGCTCCGGTCCCGTGGAGCACACAGAGCACATGGAGCACACGGAGCACACAGAGCACATGGAGCACACAGAGCACATGGAGCACATGGAGCACAGGGAGCACACGGAGCACAGGGAGCACAGGGAGCACATCCCTGTCCCCCCAACTCCGGCTGGAGGGGAATGAGCCGCCTGCAGCCGGGGTGAGCCTATATAGGGCTGTATTTGGGGGGAGGAGTGTTTTTGGGAAGGAGGAGAGCTCCCAGCCATGGCAGGGGTGAGCTGTGGAAAACCGGGTGCTGGTTAATCCCGCTGGAGACACCTTGGGAGAGCAGCAAAGCAGGAGGAGTGGCATGTGATGGCTGATTGCTCGCTGCAGGCGTGTTGGCTCCGCATGTGTAAAAACAATAATTAAACGTAAGATGTGGGAGGATTATTAAAGGTTTTATGGCATCTAATCCTTTTTGAAACCTTTCTGTAGGCTGGAATCTGAGGCTGGAGCAATAAAAATGCAAACTACACCCAGATTAATTCCGGGCACCATTATTTTCCCTCCCCAGCCCTTGCCCTCGGTGTTTACGGGGCTGTGGGAGCTGGATGGGAGGCAGGAGCTGGGATGGGCATTGCCTTGTGCTGGTGATGGTGGGATACTGTGGGATACCAGTGGAATACAAGGCTGAGGCCCTGAGGCTCACAGGATTGGGAACCACATCCAGCTGGATGCAGGATCTACATCGGCACAGGGTCACGTGTGCCTGTGAACATGCAGACACACAACTCCAACATACAGACACATATACCTTAATTCCATCTTCCAGAGATGCCCCTCGGGTGCTGCTCCCATCCCTCTGTCTGGGGACCGAACTGAGCAATCCCAGTGGCCCTGACATGGATGTAAATAAATAAATAACCGAATGAATGCAGGCGCCTTTCGCATTTCAAAGCTGGGAGATTTTTTTTTTTCCCCCTTCTTTTTCTTTTTTTTTCCCTCCCCTCCTTCGGAATGGCTTATCTCCATGAAATTAGTAATTGGCATTTCTTTCTGAAGCCGGGGAAAGCGCCAGCAGCCGGTAACACCCACGCGACACTCCATTCTCTGCGAGAGGCCCCGCAGCCAAAGCAGCGAGGCTAATAAAAATAATAACAAGGAATTAAAGGGGAGGGGGGAGGAAAAAAAAAAAAAAAAAAAGGAGGCAGAAAGTGCTGAAATCAGATTCTACTTTCCCTTTTGCCTCCCTGGTGTTTTTCGGGCGTGTGAAGCTGCGTCGGGCCGGGCAGCCGAGGGCGGGTTTCGGGCACCCTTCGGAGGAGCGGGTGAGTCAGGGCGCTGGGTGCTCCCCTCCCGGCCCCGACCAGCCCTTCTCCAGCCCTGGGTGCAGACGCGGATTTACAAAACCCCGTTTCATCTGCGAAGCGCCCTCGGGGCATCCTCCTCCTCCCCCGGAGCTCCCGGCCCCGTCTGGCACGTCGGGGCGGCAACCCCGAGCCAAAACAGGTTTTGGCTGCTGATTTCCAGCTGCTCATTAGCGCTGGGTTCTTCTGGTTGGCTTCATTAGGGTTTGGGTTTGTTTTTTTTTTTCCATGTGTGCCAGCTCATCCTGCCCTGGTGCTTGTGCTGGGAGAGCCAAACCAGCGCCCAAAGGGGCTCCAGGAGAGCTGGAGAGGGACCTCGAACAAGTGACAGGACAAGGGGGAATGGCTTCCTACTGACAGAGGGCAGGGGTACACAGGGTATTGGGAAGGAATTCTTGGCTGTGAGGGTGGGGAGGCCCTGGCACAGGTTGCCCAGAGAAGCTGTGGCTGCCCCTGGATCCCTGGAAGTGTCCAAGGCCAGGCTGGACGGGGCTTGGAGCAACCTGGGTTAGTGGGAGGTGTCCCTGCCCATGGCAGGGGGTGGTGCCTTCTCACCGCAACTGTTCCATGATTCTATGAAGCCATCCTCCTGGCGTTATCCTAAGTTATCCCAGGTGGGTCTGGGGTCAGGAGCATCCAGAGTGACCCCCAGGCTGCTCCAGCATCCAGTGCCTTGTCTGGGGGATCTGAGAATGGAGGAGCGGGGCCGTTCCCGGGTAGGGTGTGCCCGGTGCCTCACCGAGGGCTGCGGCAGATCCCTATCGTACATCCCAACCTCCCGAAAACCAACCCGGCCTGCCAGCGCCGGGCGAGCTCTGCGCGTCCCGGGATCCAGCGGCACTTCCCTGCTAATCCCCTTTGAGCTGCTGATGCCGACCGCGCCCTGGGCCGATGGTTATCACTGTGGGAGATCCTGGGCGCAGCCCCACGCCCCGGCCGTGCCGCAGCTTCCCCGTGTGCCTCCCGTCCCTACTGCAGTGTCCAAGGCTGCTGCAATCCCCGACGGAGGGGCGGGATGTCAGCCCTGTCCCGCTCGGCTGCTCCAGTGCAGCGGCAGAGACACTGGGGCGGACTGGGGGGGTAGAGGAGGGGGCTGGAGGCTGCACCCCTCCTGATCCCGCTCCTCCGCGGGGTCCTGGCCCTGGCTCTGCTCCCCGGAGCGGTGATTCACTCGCGCTGCTCCCAGCGCAGCTCCCTGAGCGGGTTAATTACCTTAATAAATAGAAATTCCAGTGTGAATTAGAGCACGCTGTGGTTTCCAGCCCGGGCTTTAACCAGCGCCCCATTTACTGCTGGAACCCGCTGCTGACACTGTGGGGGGTGGGTGGGGCTGAGCCTGGGCAGGGGGGGAACATCCTTGGGAAGGAGCCACAGACTCCCTGTGCCCTGCCCATTCTGCACACCCCCTTCCCATCCCCCCCATCCTTCTCCATCCCTCCCATTCCTCCCTATCCCTCCCCATCCCTCTCCATCCTTCCCATCCCTCTCATCCCTCCTCATTCCTCCCATCCCTCCCACCCTGACATCCCTTCCATCCTCCCCCTCTCTCCCAGCCATACTGGGTGATGCAGGCACCCAACTCCCAGTGCAAAGCACGAACACCCATGGAAAAGTCATCAGGAATTTGGGTTCCATCCAGCTGAGTCCTGGGCCACGTGCACCCCCAGCAGAGGCTCAGCAGCATCCCAGCAGCGTCCCAGTCCCCTCCACCATCCCGGCTCCCCACAGGAGCCAGGCCCCGGCGAGCCACTGTAATTTCTATATTTTTTTTATCTTTCTTTTCTCAGCAAAACCAAAAGCCCAGAAATTGCGACGAATCGATCCCGGGCCCTGGAGTTTGGACGGGTCCCATTTGCCGCGGTGTCGGTGCCCGGTGCCCGCGCCGGCACCTCCATCATCCCATTACCCGGTGACACGGGGCCGGCACCGCCGGGGAGACACAAATTACCTCATAAATCACCTCCGGGATGGAGAGCGGACAGAGCTATTAGGCTGCTCCAGAGTGGGATAGAAAGAGCCAGGGATGGAGCCGGGCTGGAAAGGCTGGAGAGGGCGGATCTGCACTCGGAGCTGTGCGGTTGTACTGGGCTTGGCTCTGCCTGGATGGTCCATGGGCTGTGCTTGGACATTCCATGGGCTGTGCCTGGATGCTCCGTGGGCTGTGCCTGGGTTGTCCCTGAACTGTGCCTGGACACTCCATGGGCTGTGCCTGGGTTGTCCCTGAGCTGTGCCTGGACACTCCATGGGCTGTGCCTGGATGCTCCATGGGTTCTGCACCAGCTCCATAACATTTATCTCCTCAAAGGCTCTGGAAGCCAATCCCTGGGCACGCGGGCTGGGAGGAGGTTAACGGGGCTGGGGGAGTTTTTATCCGCCTCTCCCTTTCCCCGAATCCTCCTTGCAAGTTCTCATGGCTTTAACGAGGAATTCTGAGGGCTCAGGAATGAGCCTGCTCCAAACCATCAGGTCTTTGCGGCCGTCCCTGCACAGCCCTGCTTTCGTTGTGGGATTATAATTAGCAACTACAATGCCATAATTATGCACCACTTAACTTCTTGGCTTTAATATCTGTGTGAGGCGGCTTGAAAGCAAGTGAGCAGGATCCCGGTGCTCCGTCGGGGAGGGGGGAATGGGGAGGGAAGGAGGCATTTCCAAGGGGTGTCATCCTGGCGTGCAGCTCCAGCTGCCCTCTCCCAGAGCCATCCCTATTGTTCTCGGTGAGAACGGAGCGGGGCCGCGGCCGGAGGAGCCCTCAGGCCCCGCCGGGGCGATGGGCAGAGGAACAAAAGAGGGCTGCAGGAAGGAAATGCTTCAGAACCTTCTAAAGGCTCCTCTCAGCAGCAGAAAGGCTTTTGATTTTTATCACTTTTGTTCTTTCAAATAACCCACCCTTAACCTTTTTGTGTTTCCCTTGCTGGGACAGCGAGATAGTGCTGGGGCTGCTCGGAACTCTTGGCTCCAGGGTGCTGGTGGGGAAGCCTTGCATCTCTTTTTGGTGTCCCTTGCCTTGTGTCCCATCTGTCTCTTCACCTAGAGCAGAGTCAACTCCGCTGCACCATCCACATTTTTGGAGGCCCTGCCAGCCCAGGGTCCCCCTCATGGTCCCCTGCCCTCCTCTGCCCCGGGATAACTTGATTTTGGGTGGGTGCTCCTCTGAGTCCACCACGGCCATCGCCCCCCGTGTCATTTAACTCATCAAAAGCTGCCCCACAACTCATTATTCTGGATGAATTAAATTGTTTGTAATTGATAAATTATGCAAAAGTGCCTGCCAATTCCGAAATGTAGAGCTGATATCAACCCACCCAGGGGGACTCATTCTAATTTTATCTCAGCCCTGCATTGTGCCTTGCCTGCTTGATGTATGTTGTATTGATTTAACAAGGCTCCTGGGAATTAGGCTGATTTTCTAATTTTATCCTCTGGATGAAATGAATCAGATTTGAATACAATGAGGGCATTGTCTGCAGGGGGAGCACGGAGGGCCAGCCAAGTGTCCCCTGGCCCCATGGTGGACTGTGCTCACCGAGGGGATCTGTGGGGCCTGTGCTCATCCTGGGATTGTCCCAGTCCATCTCCCTGGTCTCCCCTGGGTTGTTGCCCCCTCACTGATGCCCTTCTGGATGTGTGGCCCCCCGTGGCAGATGCTCCCTAGGCTTTTCCTGCTCACCATCTCCCCAGAGCAGGAAATGTGAGATTTCTCCTCAAAGTAGAATCCTGGAATCCTGGAATTGCTTGGGTGGGAAGGGACCTCAAAGCCCATCCAGTCCCACCCCTGCCATGGGCAGGGACACCTTCCACTATTCCAGGTTGCTCCAAGCCCCGTCCAGCCTGGCCTTGGACACTTCCAGGGATCCAGGGGCAGCCACAGCTTCTCTGGGCAACCTGTGCCAGGGCCTCCCCACCCTCACAGGGAACAATTTCTTCCCAATATCCCACCTAAACCCCCTTCTTTCAGTTTAAGTAGCCCTGGTTTTCTAGCAGGCTGGAACCTCTGTGGTGCTCTGAGGATGACACTGGCCTGAGCAGTAATGTCAGCATTAAAAAGAAGCTCAGGAGAAGATTAAAGCTGTATTTTTTCCACGCTTATTCCACTCTACATGGTAATAGTCTATAAAGTTGATAATGGAAGAACCTGATCCATGGATCAGGTACATCTTTGCAATCTCCATCTTAGAAATTCTCATTACAGAGAATTCAAGGGTGTTCCCAGTTCCCTGGATCCTCCCCAGGGCAGAGGGATGAGACTCAGCCCATTATCATCTCCCACTGGGAAGGCTTTCAAAAAGCAGCAGCATCTGATGCCCAGCACAGCTGTGCTCTGCCAAGAATTCCCTGACCCGCCCTTTTCCCCCTCCACTTATCAGATAACTGGGACAATTAGGAGATCATGACCATAAATAATGTAGATTATGCAAGAAAAAACAGTGGTTGGGATAACACATCCTGATGTGTCGGATTCAAAGGGCTGGGAGAGACCTTTGGCTTCTGGACGTGGCTCAAAACGCTGGGTTTGGAGGAGGAGGTGGG